ATTATTTTTAAAAATAATTAATTGATTGAGAGGAAAAAGTAACAATAACAAAACAAAAAATCCTAAAAATGATCAATTTTTTTATATATAAAAAATCTTTAAATGTAAAAATAATCAAAATGAAAAAGTAGTATAATAATTTATAACCATATAAAATAATAAAAAAAAATTCATCGTTTTTTTTTAAATTTGATTGTGACCCCATGATCTAAAATATCTGCGTCCGCCTGAGCTTACAATAGGTTCACTGCTCGATCCCAGCGCATTTTCACTGTCGTCGAGTTTCGATGTGTTTCAGTGCCAAACCTCTCTGATGACCAGCTGCACACTCCTATGGAAGGAACTTTCCAATCACTTCTCTTCCTCGAACAGGACCTCCAGAAGCAAGTAGATGCACTGAAAGCCAAGCTCCCAGCTTTGAATTCGAAAACTCAGACATCTCTAAAAGTCCTTGATAACCGTGGTACTCAATCTCCAAGTCGATGTATATGGCCTTTGAATTATTGGAAAAATGCAACAAAATCTTCAATTTCTGGAGTATTATTGGAGGATCTTACTGTGTGTAAAGGTGAGGACCAGAATGAAGAGCTTGAAGTGGATAACTCCGAGGGTTTGTTTCTCAAGTTGAAATCCTTCTGCTGTAACTTTGTAGCCAGGGAATTTTGGGATTTCATTACAGTGTGAAAGAAAGAACTGGAACTATCGAGATTGGATTTTGGTTAGGGTAGGGTTGGGTAGTTAGGGGAAGAGATTGGAGAAAGAAGAAGATACAATTTTTTCCCCTTTTTCTTTTTGGGGTTTTTTTTTTCAATTTAATTGATGTAATTATTTATTTTGGTAAATTGAAAGTTATTATTTTGCCCTTTATAAAAATATTAACAATATAGTCAAATTCAATTTTTTGGTCAACTAACTGTAAATCGGATGTTTTCTATCCATTGGGCCCTGACCTTTAACGTATGAAAATATTAAGAGTGACGGTTGCAATAAATTAAATGTTTGAGAAGGGTTTGCTAGTGTTTAAAAGATTTGGAGTCTCTGCTGCAATTATCCTTAATTTTGATGATAGTTGATAACAAGTTTCGTAAGATTAATAATAGTCTACGTGCAAAATTATTTTACTAATAAAATGTATGATTAAAAATAAATTTAAAGAAAAATGAATTTTAATGATTTGTACCAAACAAGGACCAAAAAACAATAGTTGTGATGACTTATCTAGCTATAAATTTTTTTGGCGGGGGCGGGGGTCTTAATGATTATGTACCGAACAAGGACTAAGTAACAATAGTTATGATGGCTCACCTAGCTATAAATATTTGAAAAAAAAAAAAAAAAAATCACATCTAAGCAGTCAAATCTGATTATATTGACAAATTAGCAGAAATTGAACTAAGGAAACAATATAGGCCCAAATTAAAAACATATTACAGACAAAATAGACATCCTAAATAACAGAATTCCTTCAACGGCACACACCATCTACCTTGTCTTGATCATTTTTTGTTGAAGATGATCAGTATATATATAAAACCATCCAACTAACCCTAAATGTAAATCAAATTATAATCTTTACCCACAAATGGAATTCTCCAAGCTTTTCATCACTCTAATTTTCATTCTGCAAACCCTAGTTTTAGTCTCATCTGCTCCCGGAAACTCCAACCTGTTTCGAGAATACATAGGAGCAGAATTCAAGAATGTCAAGTTTTCTGATCTTCCCATAGACAAAAATGTAGAATTCCATTTTATTCTCTCTTTTGCCATCGATTACACCACTTCATCTTCAGCTTCTCCCACTAATGGAAAATTCAACGTCTTCTGGGACACAGATAATCTCTCCCCTTCCCAAGTTGCAGCCATTAAGTCCAAGAATTCTAATGTAAAAGTTGCATTGAGTTTAGGAGGAGACAGCGTGGGAGGTGGATCTGCATATTTCAAACCTTCATCTGTCAATTCATGGCTTTCCAATGCTGTTTCTTCTCTTACAGATATAATCCAGGTATATATTGAATCTTAAAAGTCGAGCTTCTTGAATTGAGAAACATAAACTTTTATATGTTGATTATTGTTTTTGTAATTATCCCATGTGAAATTTTACCGTTTAATATATTGTCTTTCAAAATGGTGGTTTACTTGAGAACATCAATCTTTTATCGTCCGACTACTTTTTGGTGCTTTTTGTATGCAAATAATTGCCTTTCTTAAGCCCTTATTTGAGGCACACTATTTGGCCAAAAAATGAAATTTTTTACCGTTAAACATCACATCCAGCTGGCTTTTTTTGACTTCTCATCTCTTGTGTGGGCCCGACTACTTCAATAACGGTCAGAATTTTCATTTTAATGAGCCAAATAATGCCTCTCAAACAGGGGCTAAGCTTGTTAAAAGTTGATATCCAGATAAAGTTTTGAGGTCCACGAGAAGTGGCACAAGTCCTTATCTATTGGTTATTACTTTTATATTTAACAGACTTGAAATTTTACCTTGACACCAGGAATATAATCTAGATGGCATTGACATTGACTATGAGCACTTTCAAACAGACCCCGACACCTTTGCTCAATGCATCGGACAGCTCATATCCAGCCTCAAGAAAAACGGTGTAATATCTTTCGCATCCATTGCTCCATACGATGATGATCAAGTTCAAAGCCATTACATGGCTCTCTGGAAAAGCTATGGACATTTAATAGATTATGTGAATTTCCAGTTCTATGCATATGATGAGGGAACTACTGTATCACAATTCCTGAATTATTTTGAAACACAGAGATCGAATTACAAAGGAGGGAAAATTTTGCCAAGTTTCTTAAGTGATGGGAGTGGTGGATTATCTCCAGAAAATGGATTTTTTACTGCATGCAGTAAGCTGAAAAGTGAGGGAAATCTTCATGGAATATTTGTTTGGTGTGCTGATGATTCTAAGGCATTGGGTTTCAAATATGAGAAGCAGTCACAATCGCTACTTGCAATTTCACACTAATATTTAATTACTTGTTCCAATTATATCTAATGTAATATACATTTTTTAATGTAAGTGCATCAGTGTATTCTAATGTAATATATATATATATATATATATATATAGACTTTTCCTCCAGCCGCCCAATGTTATCTGTCTGCGTGTGTGCTGTCGAATTGTTTGTGTAATTCCACCAATTTTGCAGCCAAATTCTGCCGCCTACCTCTTGTGTGTTTTTGTAATTTCCCCTCTGTTGTCTGTCGTGTTCTGTATCGTTTGGCCTCCAATTTTTTTAAATTCTAATGTTTGGAATAGTATTTTTTAAAAATTTTATGATTGAAAAAGAACGAAATTTTTTTAATTTATATATAATATTATTTTTTTAAAAGATTGTGTGATTAAAAAAGAAAAAAAGAAAAAGAATGGAACGAGGGCATAATGTCAATAGTAGCCACTTCTCTTTTCCAAAAGCTGCTGCCAATTCTCTTCCCAAAATTTTGTATCCGACACCTCTTGTGTTTGCATCTCCCCTTACTTTCATTTCTGGCCGTGTGTCTACATCCACCCAATTGTATTGGTAATTGAAAAGTCCAATTCCAAACCTACTTTTTGTCCAATTATATTTCCATCACCCACCAAAATTTTCTTTATATTAGGAATCCAATTATTGCCGAATTTCCGTCCAAATGCAATTCCAAGTTGATTCCATTAATGCCATATTTTTCTTCAAGAATGCAAGTCTATCATTTTCTCCTCGATTTTGATGGTCCAATTTTTATTCAAGTGAGATTTAATCTACAAACTTCTATTTAATAGCCAATTGATCATTATCTTTTTCAATTGCTTCAAAACGGGTCAAACACCGAAATAAACAAAAAATTAACCAAAATTAAGTAAAATTCAATAATTTGACTACATAAAAGCTTAATAATATAACCCAAATAAGTGCACAAAATAACTTATCAAACATCCCCAAACTAAAACCTTTGTTTGCCCTTGAACAAAATAAAATAAATCTTAGATCTAAAAATATTACTACCTCAAGTAAATCACAAATAAAAGACTCGACATTGAACTACTTACCATGTGCCTTAGGTTCAAATTTAAGTAATACTTTAGAAAGTTCCAAACAATATCAAAAATAATTTTTTACTTATTCGATGCTCGACTTAGTGTGTTTGTGGGAGATTAGCAAACATTAAACTCATACTAAAACACAACCAATCAAGTGTTGTTGATTTATTCATAATCCAAATCCTCTTGTGGTCAGTTTTTCCTCACACCTATTGTGCAAAATCACTCTTTCTGCTTTTCTCACCAATCCCGAGATATTTCAAGCACATATAGATTTCTAAAAAATTATTATAACGGATTTTCGGGATTTTATTACAATTCAAAAGACAGAACTGGAACTATTGAGATTTGGTTAGGGTGGGGTTGGGTAGGTTGGGAAAGAGATTGAAGGTAGAAGAAGATACAGTTTTTTCCCTTCCTCTTCTTCTTCTTATTCTTTTTTTTTTAATTATTTAATTTGGTAAATAGAAATTACTATTTTGCCCTTTATAAAAATATTAACAATGTGGCCAAACTCAATTTCTTGGTCAACTAATAGTAAATTGGATGATTTCTATCTATTGGGGTTTCACCTGCAATGTTTGAAAAGGTTAAGGTGACAATTGTAATAAATCAAATGTTTGAAAAAAGTATGCTAGTGTTTGAAGTGTTTGGAGCATTTGCTGCAATTATCTCTAATTTTAATGATAGTTGATAACAAGTTTAATAAGATTAATATTAGTCTACATGTAAAATTATTTTATTCATAAAATGTATGATTGAAAATAAATTTAAAGAAAAATGAATCTTAATGATTTTGTACCGAACAAGGACTAAATAACAATAGTTATGATGGCACCTAGCTATAAATATTTGAAAAAAAATAAAAAATAAAAAATAAATCTTCTTAGCAGTCAAAATCTGATTATATTGACGAAATAACAGAAATTGAACTAAGGAAACAATATATGTCCAAATTAAAAACATATTACGAACAAAATAGACATCTTAAATTACAGAATTCCTTCAACGGCACACACTATCTACCTTTGTCTTGATCATTTTTGGTTGAAGATGATCAGTATATATAGAAAACTATCCAACTATCCCTAAATGTAAATCAAATTACAATCTTTACCCACAAATGGAATTCTCCAAGCTTTTCATCACTCTAATTTTCGTTCTGCAAACCCTAGTTTTAGTCTCATCTGCTCCCGGAAACTCCAACCTGTTTCGAGAATACATAGGAGCAGAATTCAAAAATGTCAAGTTTTCTGATCTTCCCATAGACAAAAATGTAGAATTCCATTTCATTCTCTCTTTTGCCATCGATTACACCACTTCATCTACAGCTTCTCCCACCAATGGAAAATTCAACATCTTCTGGGACACAGATAATCTCTCCCCTTCCCAAGTTGCAGCCATTAAGTCCAAGAATTCTAATGTAAAAGTTGCATTGAGTTTAGGAGGAGACAGCGTCGGAGGTGGATCTGCATATTTCAAGCCTTCATCTGTCAATTCATGGCTTTCCAATGCTGTTTCTTCTCTTACAGATATAATCCAGGTATATATTAATCTTAAAAGTTGAGCTTCTTGAAGGAAAAAGATGGAGGAGGCCCTGTCAGGTGAGAGACGTGGGGGCGGGTCCCACCTTTTAAAAAAAATGTGAGTGGGGCCCGATCCCTACAGTGAGGGGCTTGTGAGGCTCCTGTGAACCGAGCTCCAGTACGTGAAGCTCGATCCCTTCTTGAATTGAGAAACATAAACTTTTATATATTTATTATTATTTTTTGTAATTATCCAATGTGAAATATTACCGTTTAATATATTGTCTTCCAAGATGGTGATTTACTTGAAAACATCAATCATTTATTGTCCAACTACTTATTTGAGCTTTTAGTATGCAAATAATTGCCTTTTTTAAGCTTGTTCAAAGGTAATACCTAGAAAAAGTCCTCAAGTCCACGAGGACTGGCACAAGTCCTTATCTACTGGTTATTATTTTTATATTTAACTAATGTGAAATTTTACCTTGACATCAGGAATATAATCTAGACGGCATTGACATCGACTATGAGCACTTTCAAACAGACCCCGACACCTTTGCTCAATGCATCGGACAGCTCATATCCAGCCTCAAGAAAAACGGTGTCATATCTTTCGCATCCATTGCTCCATACGATGACGATCAAGTTCAAAGCCATTACATGGCTCTCTGGAAAAGCTATGGACATTTAATAGATTATGTGAATTTCCAGTTCTATGCATATGATGAGGGAACTACTGTATCACAATTCCTGAATTATTTTGAAACACAGAGATCAAATTACAAAGGAGGGAAAATTTTGCCAAGTTTCTTAAGTGCTGGGAGTGGTGGATTATCTCCAGAAAATGGATTTTTTACTGCATGCAGTAAGCTGAAAAGTGAGGGAAATCTTCATGGGATATTTGTTTGGTGTGCCGATGATTCTAAGGCATTGGGTTTCAAATATGAGAAGCAGTCACAATCTCTACTTGGAATTTCACACTAATATTTAATTACTTGTTCCAATTATATCTAATGTAATATATATATATTTTAATGTAAGTGCATCAGTGTATTCTAATGCAAGATATATATATATAATGAATAATCTAGCTCTCCGACTTTTCCTCCAGCCGCCCAATGTTATCTGTCTGCGTGTGTGCTGTCGAATTGTTTGTGTAATTCCACCAATTTTGCAGCCAAATTCTGCCGCCTACCTCTCGTGTGTTTTTGTAATGTCCCATCTGTTGTTTGTCGCGTTCTGCATCGTTTGGCCTCCAATTTTTTCAAATTTTAATGTTTGAAATAGTATTTTTTTAAAAATTATGTGGTTAAAAGAGAATTAAAAATTTTCGATTTATGTATAATATTATTTTATAAAAAATTATGTGATTAAAAATAAAAAAGAGGAAAAAAATAAAAAATAATGGAACGAGGGCAAATGTCAATAGTAGCCACTTTTCTTTTCCAAAAGTTGCTGCCAATTCTCTTTCCAAAATTTTGTAGCCCCCACCACGTGTGTTTGTATCTCCCGTTCTTTCATTTCTGGCCGTGTGTGTTCACCTACGCAATTGTATTGGTAATTGAAAAGTCCAATTCCAAACCTACTTTTTGTCCAATTATATTTCCATCGGCCACCAAAATTTTCTTTATATTAGGAATCCAATTATTGTCGAATTTCCTTCCAAATGCAATTCCAAGTTGATTCCCTTAATGCCATATTTTTCTTCAAGAATGCAAGTCTATCATTTTCTTTATTTTCTTCTCGATTTTGATCGTCCAATTTTTATACAAGTGAGAAAAAGACTCAACATTGAACTATTTATCATATACCTCAGGTTCAAATTTAAGTAATACTTTAGAAAGTTCCAAACAATATCAAGAATAAATTTTTACTTATTCGATGCTCGACTCAGTGTGCTTGTGGGAGATTAGCAAACATTGAACTCATACTAGAACACAACCAATCAAGTGTTCTTGATTTATTCATAATCTAAATCCTCTTGTGGTCAGTTTTTCCTCACACCTATTTTGCAAAATCACTCCTTATACTTTTTTCTCCAATCTCGAGATATTTCTAACACATGGGTTTCTAAAAAATTATTATAATGCATTTTTCAGGATTTCATTACAATTTGAAAGAAAGAACTGGAATTATTGAGATCGGATTTTGGTTAGGGTGGGGTTGGGTAGCTTGGGGAAGAGATTGAAGGTAGAAGCCCTTTATAAAAATATTAACAATGTGGTCAAACTCAAATTTTTTGGTCAGCTAACAGTAAATTGGATGTTTTTCATCCATTGGGGCTTTATCTGCAATGTTTGAAAAGGCTAAAGTGACAGTTGTAACAAATCAAAGGTTTCGGAAAAGTATGCTAATGTTTGAAATGTTTGGAGCCTCTTGTGACAAACCTAGTTTCGCTACACCCGAACAATTAGAACCGTGCGGCCTTAACGTTTGACAATTTCCGTCCCTCACGAGAAAACGTTAAGTCAGTCTTTCCACGCTTACAAATAATTTAACCAATGAGACTAAATTATACCCACTTTGAGAAGAGAATTTTGGAGTAAGGAATATATATGAAAAATAAGTAAGGTTGGAGAAACTTTCTTTATATAAATGAAAGGGAAAACTTTACAATATTTCTAATGAATAAACTCACTTCACTCTACATGATTTACAAATGAGACTTCCATCTCTATTTATAGGCAAAAACCTTGCAAGTTGCTTTCAAATCAATAGCCATGATTTATTTAATCCAAGGGCCCTCATTGGATGCAAGTTGATTTAGACCTCCTTTGACAAGTTGCATTCTACTTTACAACTTATGCTTAGTTGTCATCAAGTGAATATTCTTTACCATTTTCCTTGCCAGTGGATGCAACTCGTACTTAGCTTGCATCTTGATATTATCCTTGCCAACTTGATCTTAACTTGCATTTTGATAATATCTTGCAAGTGGCCAAGTGGACAATTTGTCCAAGTTGCCCACTTGTATACCCAAAATATCCGGCTGCAGGTTTATGTATTTTTCCTTCCAAAATGGCTGGTTCGAGACTTAGAAAAATCTCATTAACATGCTGGAAAACTGCCTTGCTTCAGGCAGCTTGCATTCTGCCCAATAGGCTGCCTGCGTCCCCTGTCGCAAGTTATCTGAGTCCCCCTACCGAATCTGCCCGCGTCCCCTACCGCAGGCTGTTCTATCCTGCTGAAACGCGTTACCCACGCTGTTTTGCGATCATTACCGGGACGGATCAGTTGCGACCGTGTGGGGGCGTAAGTCACTCCCCCACCAAATTTGACGACGCTCTCGTTGCCGTGTAGTCTCGTAGCTCCGACTCAAATTGCCATAGCTCTTTTTCATTTTCCCAAGTAGCTTCGAACTCGAGTAATCCCTTCCATTTGATTAAGTATTGAGTGCAAGGGAGAACACCTCTCCATCTCACCACTCGATCCGCCAAAATGGATTCAACATCTTTCTCAAAAGATTTTGTGACAATGGGAGGTGCCCTTTTTGATTTGTTTTTCCCCGGATCCTCCAAGTCCGGCCTATATGGCTTCAACATGCTCACATGAAAAATCGAATGAATCTTTGAAGTGCTTGGAAGATCTAGGCGGTAGGAAACTCTTCCAACCTTAGCTATGATGGGAAACAGACCTTCATACTTTCTAACCAAGCCTTTATGAACTTTGCGGTAGACTTTGAATTGTTGGGGCAACATTTTCACAAGTACTCGATCTCCAATGTTGAACTCCAATGGTCTCCGTCTCTCATCGGCCCATTTCTTCATTCTCTTCCGGGCTTTCCCCAAGGAAGATCTCGCTAAATCCTCATGATCTCCCCATGACTTAGCCATTTTTATTGCTCCGGGACTTTGATTGGAATTACCAACCATAGGCAATGTGTGAGGCGTTGTAGGTTGTCGCCATGTTTCAAGTTCAAATGGACTATGTCCTGTGGATTCACTTTTCTGCAAATTGTAGGAAGACTGAGCTATGTCCATCAACTTCGCCCAATCCCGCTGATTAGCACTAAGAAAGTGCCTAAGATAACTTTCCAACAATGCGTTCACCTGTTCTGTCTGCGGGTGAAAACTACTAGAAAAGTGCAAATTCGATCCAAGGAGTTTAAACAATTCCATCCACAATTTTCTCATGAAGCGGGGACCCCAATCACTAACAATATGTTTAGGCAATTCCCAATACTTCACAACATGCTTGAAAAATAACCTCGTCGTCTCCTCCGCAGTGCAATCCTTAGGGCCGGAATGAAAGTAGCATACTTGGAAAACTGATCAACAACAACAATTATTGATCCAAACCCTTCAGATATTGGCAAGGCACTAATGAAATCCATGGTGACCACGTTCCATGGTTGATCCGGCACAGGAAGAGGATCAAGAAGTCCAACCGGTAATTTATTCTCCACTTTGTCTTGTTGGCACACAAGACATGTTCGGACATATGTCTCCACTTGATCACGTATTTGCGGCCAATAATATGTTTGTTCAATCAAAGCCAATGTCCGATCTATCCCAAGATGTCCAGCCCATTTAGTGTCACGACATTCCCGGATTATGTCACGCCGCAAATTTTTCCACTTAGGCACAAATATTGTTGCCCAGTGGTGTATTGTAACCCATTGTCAATACGAAATTGCCTTGTCTTGCCTTTTCGGGTGGCTTGCATCAATGTTTTTGCCATGGGATCATGCTCCAATCCTTGTTTAATTTCCTCCAACAATGTGCCCGTGGCTTGGCTAATTGCTGCAAGTTTCGCCCTCCGGCTAAGTGCATCCGCCACTACATTCACCTTCCAAGGTTTGTATTCCATCACATAATCAAACTCCGCCAAGATATCTTGCCATCTAGCTTGTTTCGGGCTTAGCTTTTTTTGTGATTGGAAGTAACTTATAGTTACGTTGTCTGTCTTGATCACAAAACGGGAACCCAAAAAATAATGACGCCATACCCGTAGGCAATGCACAAAGGCCGTCATTTCTCTTTCTTGCACCGTGTAACGCCGCTCCGTGTTATTCAACTTGCGACTCTTAAAGGCAATAGGATGACCGTCTTGCATAAGCACACCTCCAATAGCAAAATCCGATGCATCCGTTTGAACTTCAAAACTTTGTTGAAATTTGGCAAGGCCAACACCGGCTCCGACATGACCGCCGCCTTTAAATTATCAAAGGCTCTTTGGCATTTCACGGTCCAATCCCATCCTTGAGACTTTTTGAGCAAGTCCGTCAATGGGGCCACTCTAGATGAGTAGCCTTTAATGAAACACCGATAGTAATTCACTAATCCAAGGAAAGATCGTAACTCCGTTACCTTAATAGGTTGCTCCCATTCATTGGTTGCTTTTACTTTGGCTCAGTCCATTTTCAAGTGACCATGCCCAATGATATGTCCCAAGAAATTCACCTCTTCTTTGGCAAATGAACATTTCTCCTTCTGGATGTACAATTCATTTTTCCGCAACACTTGGAAGATAATTTTTAAGTGTTCAACATGTTAGATGACAATATCATCAAGATAGACCACCACAAACTTATCCAAGTATGGATAAAATATCTTGTTCATCAAGGTGCAAAATGTGGCCAGGGCATTGGTGAAACCGAATGGCATGACAAGCCATTCATAGGAACCATACCGAGTAATGCAAGTAGTTATTGGTTCATCTCCCTCCGCAATTAGAACTTGATAGTAGCCTTTTTGCAAATCAACCTTGGAGTAGAATTTAGCACTACCAAGCCAATCAAATAAATCTGCAATCAATGGAATATGATACTTGTTTTTCACCGTCACCTTGTTTAGTGCCCGGTAATCAACACATATCCTTAACGTCCCATCCGGCTTCTTTTGGAATAACACCGGGGATGCCATAGGGAGCTTTGGATGATCTAATCCTTCCCGTGTCAACAAGCTCCATAGGTTATTTTCGAAGCTCTTTCAACTCCGAGGGTGCCATGCGATAAGGTGCCATGGCTGGGGGTTTGGCTCCAGGCTCCAACACAATGCAATGATCAACTTCCCTCCTAGGTGGGAGTTTCCTTGGCAACTCCTTGGGCATCACGTCCTTATATTCCACAAGGACCTTTGTAATAACATCCGACAAATCATCATTATTAG